AATACACCAATTGCTAACCTCACCATTCCAAAACAAAACAAAACTCTTTGTGTGTGTGTGTGTAAGGGTGTGTTCAACAGACCAATGACAGCCTTGCGTAAAGCTCCCAATTCAGCTTGTCACGAAGCGAGGTCATCTTTAGCCGCAGCCACGCCGACAGAACAGGCAGGTGAGGAGGACGCTTGTTAGCTTTTGAGGACACTCGTCGTTTTTAAAATGCAGTTGTGACATACTGAATAATGCAGCGGCCGTTAGTGCAGGGCAATTGAAGTGAATGAAAGTCCTCTCTGTCAGGGCTTACCATTCAAAGCGCATCAGCTTCTGGTTTCCATGGCACCCGTGTGCGCCAGTGCTGTTTTCCACCGGCGTGCCTGGGCAAGTGAGCGAGGGAGGATGGATGGAGGGATGACGGAGGGGGGTAGAAAGAGTGAGAGACGCTCACACAGAGTGCGACTGAAGGCTTTTCAGCAGCGGTTATCTCGCCTTTGCATAAAGTCCCTCTTTGCATTCTGCGGCGTGACAATGCTTTTTAGAGACGACGCAGCCGCCAACTCATATAGGCGAGCGGCCGTGTATACAACTCACGTCATGTGTATGAACGCTACTCATTTGCAGTCTCCTTCAAAAGTGGCACGGTTTGATCGGGAGGGGATGCAAATGGGATATAGCCCCTCGAATGGCGCAAGATCGCTTCCCCGCAAGTCACGGCCGTCTCGGAGAGCGCCGCTCAATGTAACTCAGTCAGTCAGCGGGGATGTAAACAACTGGTAGCACATCAACCGTTTTGGTTCATGGAGCATTTGTAAGTGTTTGCAAAAAATCATTAGGACACACCAGGGATCAGCAACTTACTTTGTGGATACTTTAATGCGAAGGGCTTCCAATTAGATACACAAATGTTTTTCTTCTTTTCTCTTCGTTTTTTTTTAAAAACACGATTGCCGACTCACCTCTGTGTTGCGCCTTTGTCGTCCGTCATCAAAGTTAAAGCTCTCTTGGTAGTTAACCACTTTTATCCTTGTACGAAAATGTTGAATATACCGATTGACTATATTTGTCCGTCTATATTTACACTGTTTCTGATTTTAATGTGCCACTTGGGAAGGCACCAAGACTGCGCGAGGCTTGTCCTATATACCTTGAATGACTCCAACACTGACCAACGTAGCAACACCGAGCATCAATATAACACAGGGGTGTCAAAGATACGGCCCGCGAGCTGGAACCGGCCCCCCAACGAGGCTCGCAGGATAATTTAAAAGTGAAAAAATACATAATAGACACGGAATGAATATTTTTAATCAGCTGCAATTCATGGATCATCCGCTAGGGGGAACAGTATTTTGATCAGAGTAGAAGACAATATTTTTTTGATCAGAGAGGAAGACAACAGCAGTCTGTCTGTCACCGAGCCAGACCCGACACAGCAGTAAAAGCCAGCTACTTACTTGCTAGCGAAATAGCATTAGCATCAAAGCCGTATTCCGACTTTGTTAAACGATGCATGATGAAGACGGCTGAACTTGTATGTCCCGAGAAGCGACAAGCTTTTGCCCACGAAGGAAATATATGATATTTTGGTTATTTATAGCAGAGTGTGGTCTAATTTTAATGGTCCGGCCCACTTGACATCTACCGAGGCCGTATGTGCCTCACAATGTGAAATGAGTTTGACACCCCTGATGTAACGACTGCGGAATAATGAGCTGAGAAATTCGGGTGCATTATGCCATCCACACCTGAGTACACAACACTTTGGCTCTCATCTATCATCCTTGCACTCGCGCGAGCTGAGCAGAAAGATGCAAGCCCCCATCGTGTATGCGAGGCGCTTTTGTGAAATATGCGAGCATTCGGCGCTAAGTTTCACGGAGATGCTGGCTTCAGCCTTCCCATTTGGGATAAGTGGATCCACTCTGGTGCCAGCCAACTCGGGGAGATGCAAAGCCGGTGGAATCTGTGTATTCATAAAGCATCTCCGGTGCCATCTGTTTACTCGAGGAGACAATCTGAAAGCCTGGTGTTGAGATTCACTCAAGGATAATCAAGAATTTGGTCCGGCTGCCTACTAATGTACCGACGCCGGTCACAAGACCCGTGCCCAATCTGAAAAGATTCAGAGCTGTACTTAAAAAGCATGCCTTTCATTACACCGGACAACAAATGTCCATAATTTATTTTTTAATCAGAGATGATTTTTTAAATTTTATTTTCAATTATTTTTTTTGCCACTGATTACGAATCGACCCTTGCTTTTTCTGTATTACATCAGGATTTAAGATTAACATTATTAATAATAATAATAATGAGTTGAGTTACTAATAATAAAAATACGTTTTGTCCACTTTTGGGTCAGAAACCGGTGCCCATGTTCTACTGCTGATTATGAGCGTGGAAGAAGCTAGAAATTAATTTTGAGAATAGAAAATAACATACTGTACTGTTTATTTTTATAGGTTTGGCACTTATTGAGTCACAGAACATCATAGACAGCTGGCAAAATGGAGAACTGCATTTTTTTCAGAAATATACATCAAACTAGTAGCCCTTCACTTGAATCAGTCTCTCCGGCGACCTCTGGACTCGAGGCTGCTGTGGCTTTAAGAGGACCAGTTCTTCTGCCGGCGCGCAATAAGCATTCCTTTCATGCTTTGTGAGGCTCCGCCGACTTGTGCCTAAATCCTCAACTTCTCCGTAATTATGCAAATGGCCCAGATGGCGACACGATGGCTCCCATTCTCTTTTGATTTTTCCAACGCTGCAGATGGCCACCATGCAGACCCACGCAAAGTGACACTCGCTCAACGTCAATGTTCATGCCGCATTTGTGATCCCGTTGCGAGGGAATTTCATTTCCATATGCACCACCAGGATTACTACGACTACTAAAATGTGTTGTTGTTTTTTTTTCTTTTCACTTATGCAGCCTTTCGAGTAAAAAAAAAAAAAAAAAAAAATAGGAGTGGGCGTCAGCATGATGTCCTTCTTGACACATTTAGTTAGTCATCTCGGTGTGCTCATGATGAGAAGTGAGTATTCGTCACATGATACAATCGCATTTTCCTTTTCATGATTCAGCAAATTCCGATTGAAAAATGGACATTTCCAAAAAAAGATCAATGGCACTGTGGTTATACACAAACATTCACATGGAGCTGCTGTCGACCACAGCTCACACCCAGACACTCACATGCAGACTCTCCATAGTTTCAGCCAATGCTAGTCCCACCAAGCCCCGCCTCTTAAAGGCACATATTTCTCACTGATATTATAATATATCCAGTATTTTATTTATTTATTGATGTATTTCTAATACAGCTCATGCAAATGTCACGAACGTGGCGCCAACGCGTACCAAGTAGCCCTCAAGGCCCATACGAGTGGCCTGGAGCCTGCTCAAAAAATAGCTGGGACATTGCGATTTCTTTGGAATGTTGTAGACGCGATCAATTGAAAACGTAAACACACAGTTCGAGAAATAAGTGCTGCATCGTGATATTTGTTCTATTCCGTGATAAAATGATAGCTATTGTGATTATTAATAACTTGAAATTACCCAAAAGAGTTTTTTTTTTTCTTTTTCTCCTCCCCAATCACTATCGGACGACCATAGCTCAGGCTCATGGCAGCTTTGGAAGCGTAATTCTGAAACTGACTCTGTTTTTGCTTTTGTTTTTTTGCGTTTTTACTTTGTCTTCCAATTAAGACAAAGTAACTTGATTGAGTTCCTTGAGAATAATGTCCTTCCGTCACGTCGTGTCAAGATTCCCACATTGTAAGTTATTCATACCTCGGTAACCCCCGTCGGTCCAAGAGCTGCTTTCACGTATTTCTTGGGGTGAAATATAACTCCAATCTTTGGTAGCGGGGCTGCTGCCCATATCCTTAGCGGAGGTCCATCGACCCACTAGGAGATGTTCATAGGGGGTTGGATGCTGATAAGGTACGGGGTAGTGTTCAATCAATAACATGTAGGCGCATGCTGGAACTGTAGATAGGCATCTCGGCACGACATATCCGCTGTTTGAAGTCGTTAATCAGAGCGATAAGCCTTCTCACCACCTCCGTGGTTGCCGCTATTTTTTCCTGAAACGTAAACACGAGTAATAAACGGTCCCTTTCTGCGAGGCCTTTCATTTGCATAGGTCAAATGTTATTTCCCTTTCTGTGGAACGACCGAGTGGATGTTTCTAACGTTGCAAACCGTCATTCCCCCATGTAAAGAAAAGACGATGTTTGAATAAAGAATGACAAACACTAGGATACGATCGATTTTTTTATTTTCTTCAATTTTCTTATTTGCACTGATGCAAAAAGTGGACTTAACGATAATGATTGTATTATATGACTTACAACAGGCAGTGGCAATCCGGAAAAAGCTCATGACATGATGACCAACAGGTGCGACGCTGGAGGAGAAGCCCTCCGACGCCACCTGTTGGTCAGAAACGGGAACAGAAGCATGACAGTAAACGATGAAACAACAAAAACGGAATCCGACATTTTAAGTTTCCCGCATCAAAATCAAAATTGGAATTTGTAAATCTTTTCTCGCAAACTGTTGACGATTTAATGTAACAAGATTTGCCTTATAAGTTAAATACAACTGAAGTGGACTCAGCACATTTTTAAAACAGTTTGAACCTTAAATTGAGTGACTCTTTGACATACCGCGGCAAGGATTCCCGTTTAGGTCCAATCCCATTTCTTCCTCCGACTGCTGTGTAACACTTTTTTGAATTCGAATTGCAGGACTCAGAGTTGCATGTTTTGCGAATGTGGGGGCGAAGAATGAATAAACTCCCAGACAGGAAGCCCGAAGTGGAGATTTGTAATCTCGGAACTTTGTGAAAGACAATCCAGATGTACTTCTTTATAACGGTTGCTGAAGATGAACATTCTGACTTCTGTTTATCGCTCTCACACGTGATCTGTCTACCGCTCACATCTTCATCGCCACGCGCGCTCTCTCTCTCTCTCGCTCTCTTCTCCCTTTCTCTCCACTAACCTTGGCACCACGTCACAGGCTGTGCAGCAGTGCAGTAGAACGGGAGTGCATGCGAGCCACAGTGCCTCATAGGTGGAGGGGTGGGGGGCTGCATATCGCTGCCGCGTCCTCTGCTTGGCGCTCGTCATCCCCCGCTCCCACATCCTTACCTTTACAAGCCCATGCTCGGGCTCCTTCTCTCCTGCCGCCAGCGCTACTGACAGCAACGCGCTCCTCCTCTCCCCCCACCCGGACCCCCCCTCCGCCCCCTCGACATGGATGTCCCGTCGTCCCTCGAGCCGAAGGATTGCCGCGCGTTGGTGCAGTGAATAAGACGAGGACCATGCCGGGACTGCTAATGGATTTTGGGAGAGCGCGAGTGACCATGCCGTGAGCTTCACTCGGCCATCTCCAAAATAAAGAAAGAAACAGCGACGTGCATCGCAAGGAAAGGGGGCTCGGACACGCGCGGCGGCGGGATTTAAAAACCACCGTGCATTTGTTTGTTTTGTTTTTTTTTTCTTCCTACCCCCCCGCAAACAACATGAAGATTACCTCCCATCCGCTGATGATAAGCAGTGTCGTTGTCAGGTCCAAGCTCAGCCTCATTCCGCTTCTGCTGCTCTTTCTCGGTCACTCTCGCGGGATGCCGCATGTGCTAAGATTTGGTAAGATTGCACTTCTTTACACTTGGCTTTGTAAACAATGTGTGCGCGTGTGTGCTGGGCCACATTGAAATGACATTGAGGGGGTGGAACTGATTTGTTGAGGCTCGTTTCCCCCCCCCCATCCCAACCAGAGTTGGCAAAGCCCTGTTGCTGCTGCTTTACTTTCTCGTGCAATGCTACGTGTGTGTGTGTGTGTGCGCGCGTGTGTGTCTGTCTTATCTCTTTTTTTTTCAACCCAGCAAACTTTTTTTCAAATGTGACCAATTCTGGGTGTACCCTGCCTCTCAGCCCAAGTCAGTCGGGGATAGACTCCAGCTCACCCGCGAACCTAATGAAGGATGGATGGACTAATTTGTTTTGTAAATGAATGTCACTGTCCTGCTTTTTAAAGTATTTAGTAAGACATCACAGGTATATTTTGTCACACGCTAATTGGTAATTTCCTCACTCGGACATGCCAACACGTCCACCGCAGGAAATGTCTGTTTAAACAAAGAGACCCAGGTGCGCATCTACACAATCAATTGGCTTGGCATACACTGTGACCCCCCCCCCCCCCTTCCCCCCTCCCCGTCCCCACCTGCAACTCTACTACTTAATGTTATTGGCATCGACATGCCTTTGGAGCTAATTGGCTAAATTGGAAGGTATTGTAAAAGTGCCACACTCAAAAGTAATCACATGGAGCATCGAGTTATATAATTAATGCAGACCAGCAGTTGTGTTGTTTAGCCTCGCAGCATCTTCGCTGTGTCCGTTTCTTGGTGGCGCACACCGCGGCGCGGACAGAGCGCTTTTCAAGAGTGACAGGGGTGACAGTCGGTGTCGGCGAGCGTTGACAGCACGTCCTTGCAATCCTCCCCTTCACCCTGGGGGCCCCTATTTGAAAGTCAGGCGACGTCTGCGTGAGCCGCCGCTATGACAACGAGCCGGGTTTGTCTCGCTGGTGCGACCTCGGCCTGATGAGCCACTCCCGAGTCGAGGTCGGGATGTCTGCTGAGCCCTAATTTTTGACAGTTAAAGGAACATCTTCATGGCAAAGTTTCCCCCAACTTTTGATTATCTCTAGATAACAGCATTTTTATTTGTGTGTGTGTGTGTGTGTGTGTGTATATATATATATATATATATATATATATATATATATATATATATATATATATATATATATATATATATATATATATATATATATATATATATATATATATATATATATATATATATATATATATATATATATATATATATATATATATATATATATATATATATATATATATATATATATATATATATATATATATATATATATATATATATATATATATATATATATATATATATATATATATATATATATATATATATATATATATATATATATATATATATATATATATATATATATATATATATATATATATATATATATATATATATATATATATATATATATATATATATATATATATATATATATATATATATATATATATATATATATATATATATATATATATATATATATATATATATATATATATATATATATATATATATATATATATATATATATATATATATATATATATATATATATATATATATATATATATATATATATATATATATATATATATATATATATATATATATATATATATATATATATATATATATATATATATATATATATATATATATATATATATATATATATATATATATATATATATATATATATATATATATATATATATATATATATATATATATATATATATATATATATATATATATATATATATATATATATATATATATATATATATATATATATATATATATATATATATATATATATATATATATATATATATATATATATATATATATATATATATATATATATATATATATATATATATATATATATATATATATATATATATATATATATATATATATATATATATATATATATATATATATATATATATATATATATATATATATATATATATATATATATATATATATATATATATATATATATATATATATATATATATATATATATATATATATATATATATATATATATATATATATATATATATATATATATATATATATATATATATATATATATATATATATATATATATATATATATATATATATATATATATATATATATATATATATATATATATATATATATATATATATATATATATATATATATATATATATATATATATATATATATATATATATATATATATATATATATATATATATATATATATATATATATATATATATATATATATATATATATATATATATATATATATATATATATATATATATATATATATATATATATATATATATATATATATATATATATATATATATATATATATATATATATATATATATATATATATATATATATATATATATATATATATATATATATATATATATATATATATATATATATATATATATATATATATATATATATATATATATATATATATATATATATATATATATATATATATATATATATATATATATATATATATATATATATATATATATATATATATATATATATATATATATATATATATATATATATATATATATATATATATATATATATATATATATATATATATATATATATATATATATATATATATATATATATATATATATATATATATATATATATATATATATATATATATATATATATATATATATATATATATATATATATATATATATATATATATATATATATATATATATATATATATATATATATATATATATATATATATATATATATATATATATATATATATATATATATATATATATATATATATATATATATATATATATATATATATATATATATATATATATATATATATATATATATATATATATATATATATATATATATATATATATATATATATATATATATATATATATATATATATATATATATATATATATATATATATATATATATATATATATATATATATATATATATATATATATATATATATATATATATATATATATATATATATATATATATATATATATATATATATATATATATATATATATATATATATATATATATATATATATATATATATATATATATATATATATATATATATATATATATATATATATATATATATATATATATATATATATATATATATATATATATATATATATATATATATATATATATATATATATATATATATATATATATATATATATATATATATATATATATATATATATATATATATATATATATATATATATATATATATATATATATATATATATATATATATATATATATATATATATATATATATATATATATATATATATATATATATATATATATATATATATATATATATATATATATATATATATATATATATATATATATATATATATATATATATATATATATATATATATATATATATATATATATATATATATATATATATATATATATATATATATATATATATATATATATATATATATATATATATATATATATATATATATATATATATATATATATATATATATATATATATATATATATATATATATATATATATATATATATATATATATATATATATATATATATATATATATATATATATATATATATATATATATATATATATATATATATATATATATATATATATATATATATATATATATATATATATATATATATATATATATATATATATATATATATATATATATATATATATATATATATATATATATATATATATATATATATATATATATATATATATATATATATATATATATATATATATATATATATATATATATATATATATATATATATATATATATATATATATATATATATATATATATATATATATATATATATATATATATATATATATATATATATATATATATATATATATATATATATATATATATATATATATATATATATATATATATATATATATATATATATATATATATATATATATATATATATATATATATATATATATATATATATATATATATATATATATATATATATATATATATATATATATATATATATATATATATATATATATATATATATATATATATATATATATATATATATATATATATATATATATATATATATATATATATATATATATATATATATATATATATATATATATATATATATATATATATATATATATATATATATATATATATATATATATATATATATATATATATATATATATATATATATATATATATATATATATATATATATATATATATATATATATATATATATATATATATATATATATATATATATATATATATATATATATATATATATATATATATATATATATATATATATATATATATATATATATATATATATATATATATATATATATATATATATATATATATATATATATATATATATATATATATATATATATATATATATATATATATATATATATATATATATATATATATATATATATATATATATATATATATATATATATATATATATATATATATATATATATATATATATATATATATATATATATATATATATATATATATATATATATATATATATATATATATATATATATATATATATATATATATATATATATATATATATATATATATATATATATATATATATATATATATATATATATATATATATATATATATATATATATATATATATATATATATATATATATATATATATATATATATATATATATATATATATATATATATATATATATATATATATATATATATATATATATATATATATATATATATATATATATATATATATATATATATATATATATATATATATATATATATATATATATATATATATATATATATATATATATATATATATATATATATATATATATATATATATATATATATATATATATATATATATATATATATATATATATATATATATATATATATATATATATATATATATATATATATATATATATATATATATATATATATATATATATATATATATATATATATATATATATATATATATATATATATATATATATATATATATATATATATATATATATATATATATATATATATATATATATATATATATATATATATATATATATATATATATATATATATATATATATATATATATATATATATATATATATATATATATATATATATATATATATATATATATATATATATATATATATATATATATATATATATATATATATATATATATATATATATATATATATATATATATATATATATATATATATATATATATATATATATATATATATATATATATATATATATATATATATATATAAATAAAACACTTTCAGGGACAGCGGTTACTACAGTGGATAGCTTATCATGTTATGAGGTCACGAAGTGCACAAAAGGGATGTAGTGGCATCTTTGAGTGTCCAGGACAGTACTAAATCTGACACATGACTATTATTATATGTGGAAATCATAATTGATTGATAGATATCTGATAGTGTCAATCAAAACGCAGCACGATGATATTTTGAGCAATTCTCGGACTGAAATGCGTTTTTTCGAGCATGTAAGGTGTACCTAATGTCGTGGCCGATGTGTGTAATCACAATAGATAAGATCTTTTCTGGCTTTTGTCGCCCTGTGCATTTTGATGAGAAGCATGTGGCCCGTGCGCGGGTTGCCATCAGACAGGCATCAGAGTCGATATTCACGGCAGATAAGAGGTGATTCGTGTCACCAGCGACATTTTGCTGCAGGATAAATTTGATAATCATTTTCCTCCACGGCCCTCTTCTGGTGCCAGACCATAAAACCTGCTAAAAAATGTCAAGTCTGACGCTTGTGAGACACTTTTTTCAGCACCCTGGACAGAGACTTTGCTTTTTTGGCAGCAAGGCAGGAAGCTTCTGTTGAACATTGGTATTTGCCGGCTTGCACATATCCATTCAAATGCAGCACTTTTAACTATTTTTGTGGGACTTTTTCCAAGTCGTGCCATGTATTTATTAATCATGACAATTCTAGCAATTTCATTGCAATTTAGGATTTTTTCTTTTCAAGATCTGAGCCGCTTCAATCTATTTAATACCACCCCCAGTTGGAGTCAATTGTCAAACTAAACAAAAAAATAAGGAGAATGACAGGTTGTGTATTTAAAAACAACCACATCACACTGTCTTTAGGTCAGCTAGCTTAATGCTAACACAATGTAAAACGCTATGGAGGGGTTAACGAATAGCATCTGTTTGTCAGTGGTATAACAGTTTCAATTTCAGGACCAGATATTTGAACACTAATGGTGCAGCAACGAATGTGGACTGACAGTGTAACAGTACTCAATGGCATATGTTCTGTATTCTCTTTGAAAAGCTACGAATGTCACAGTTGTTCAGTGTGAAAGTATTGTTTGCGCCTGACATTGCTGCACTGGGTGGTGGCCAACCTCCAATTTTGTTCGGATGTATTCCACCTTCTAATTGAAGGGAAAACAAATTAACCGTTGTACAAGGATAAAAATGATTTAACAATAATATAACATTTTGCCGGTAATTTTAATGGCCGAATATAAAGGCAATTTGCGTTGCCGTCTATGATCTCTCATTTGTAGTTCCTTAATTGTCTCCCAAGTGTAAAAAATAAATAAAAAATAAAAGAAATAAAAAGAAGTGTTGACTATGTTGGAAAACAGGAAGAAAAACAAAACTCCTTTTGCCAACTCGCGACAACTGTCTGCTTGCAGATTTCTATTGTATATTGTCCTTCTTTTCTCACATTCTTCTCAACAGCCCTCATTGAGGCTGCTTCTTATTTTTGGAATAAGTGTCACCAAAAGGCTAAAGCGGATTTCGGGTAGACCCACGTTAGAGGATATGAAATTGGCTGAGAGAGAGACTCCAGCTCCCTGCGACCTTGAACGGAATAAGCAGTTTAGAAAATGCGTAATCAAGACCTGATACGGATCTGAGGATATCCAATTACACGCATGTCCCCCTCGCTTACACTGCCATGACTCTTGTCTGAATAACATATTGGATTTTAAAACAATTTGAATTGAAGATGCTAGTGTTTTTTTTTTCTTCCTTTTTTTTTTTTTTTTTTTTGAACAACCGCTAATTAATTTCCAAAGGGGTCATGTGAGAACCGGTAACGCCATGTTGAACTTAATTGTATTAGACAGTAGATAGTATAGTTCAAGTGATGGATATCTGAACACAAACACATGTAGAAAAATAAGATAACAATCTATCCAGGGCTGAATGATTTTCAAAAATAAACTCATTGAGAATTAATGTGAAAAACAATTTCTTGACTGACTTCAGTTAGAATTAACTTGCGCAACACTTGGACTTGCGACTGATGTAATTGTGCCTTATACTGCCCCCAGGTGGCCATGGCACACACACACACCAGAAGGAGCAGCGCAATGTTCATTGAATTCAAACAAAAAAAATGTGGCAATAACTGTTTACGTCTCGACGTTTTATTTATGCCATAACTGTCTGTTTTTATGAAGTCGAAATAAAAGCACGGCATATTTTCATGTCATCAGCACTGACAAGAACCCTTTTGGGGACAGCGGTGACCACAGTGGGCAGTTTCTCACGTAACCAGGTTACAGGTTATCATTGTTGGTGCATGGAAGGGTTAAGGACAAAAACAGTGTGACGCTTTTACTACTTTGCATACAGTGCTGTCTTCTCTCCATACAAAAATAGATGACAGCTACGGGGGTGGGGTCATCACATAAGGAAAATGTACCGAGAGCCTCTAGAGCATCATTGGTCCTTTTCCAGTGTTTGTCTTGTCCAGTTGGGATGCACTGAGTCATCAAATAATCCCAGCTGCTCCTGCAGAACTGCAGAAAAGGCGTCCGAAACGAGGAGGTCAGCTCCCCTTGGGCCTGTCTGTTTTCTTGCGGTGCCCGGTTGTGTTCTGCCAAGACAGGCGGCCCCGCACGGTGCCCGTAGTATTGTTCTCCTGTCAGACGCTTGTCCTCACAAACGCGCACGGGGGCGTGTTGGAACATGAAAGAAAACAGTGGCCTTTTGTCTTGCTTCGTGTAGCGGCGGCCTCACCTTGTCGCGCAAAAGAATGCTTGACGAGCTTTTATAGTCATCAGCTGAAGATACATGCATTTTTATAGGAACTGCTGCAGCTTTTTACACGGCGTAATAAAACACACTTGCGCCTTTATATCCTACTCACTCGTGCCTACGGAGGGCATTAAACGGGATGTTGTAGTCATGGATACAGCAAGGACGTCTCAGAGCCGCTCAAGTAAATATTTAGCCACTTCCTGGAAAACGGCCACTTTGGATAGGGCGCCGTCATAACCGTTCGCTTCGTTTTTTGGGCTTGTAAGAGTGAAATGAGGCGGAATGCGGCAAGGAGTGGCGTCACGCGGCAGCTTACCGGTGAGCAAATACGAACGGAGCTCATTTATTCATTCACATTAAAAAAACGAATCACAGTGGAAAATGTGATCAAATTTCACTTTAGTTACTTTTGTTATTCATAAAATGCCTCTGGAAGATGAGAAAAAGACAGAAAATCAACATTGAGATGTTTCTTTTATTCCGATGATGAGTGAAAGTTTCCTCCATTTACTCCCTCCCCCCCGCCCCCCCAAACACATTTAAACTAATGAAAACACATTTGTTAGACATATTGTCAACTTATTTGTCGTTATATGGGGCAACAGTAAAAAAACACTGCGGAGTGTAACACTGTAGCGTCCAAAACTAACCTCGCAATCAAGCTAATGTTAGCATCGGCGGCCATAGCCAGACCAAACGTACGGTCCAGAGGCATAATGCGTGCTGCTCCAATTGTGTCACCATTAACTAATAGCATAATCGTGGCTGCATGCACTTCCCCGGGGATTTTAAACAATGTACATTTTTATTTTTAGCATCTGTCAGGGCAGAAAATGTACAAACTTGAACTGAGTACAATTCAGTGACAAGTTGGGTCTGTAACGTGACAGAACATCGGCAAAAACATTGATCGGTGTTGCAAATGATCGATCATTGAGCACGCAAGGACGATGAAACATCCACTTCATAACTACATTAAAAGTTTTTCTTTTGAGTTGAAAACGGCTTACCTTTTTCCTGACAAAAAGAAAGACCGCTTGTATGATGCGCGTTGTGATATTGTTTAGCGGAAATGCGAGCAGAGCTGTGTCCAGCTGAGTCTGTAACACGCAGTGGACAAGGGAGAGTGGGGTGGGGGGGGTCCCGTGGCCACTGTGAGAAATTTAGGGTGTTCCGAGGACATGCAAAGTGAAAGAGAAGCAAATGCAAGGGGAGTAGTTGGAGTTAATTAACTCAGCTTTTTTTTTTTTTGCTTTGTGCCAGGCTGAATTATCACCATGGCGGAGTTTAGTTTAGGATTGCAAGAATTAGAGATAACACCCGGCGCCCCAGCCACGGCCCGGGCCCACTGCCAGCACATTCAGCGCAAATACATTTAAAGAGGCACAAAGCTGCTTAGAATATTCATGTGTCACTTGGCCCTGCGTGGCGTAGCTTATAGAAATATGAAACCATCTCCTCTCTGCTGGCAAATGATTTCCACGGTTTAAAAATATCTACTGTGGGTTTCAAGAACAAAGAGGAGATTGCGCTGACATTAGCATGCAGCAGCGCACATGGACCTGAAGCGGCGGATATGATCTGGATGGATTTCTAAAAATGTGTTTACCGTCTTTGAAGGTTTTGCCTCAAACGGTGCATTGATGACAGATTCATGGTACAGACTTCCAAATGGGAATCATCACTAAAGACATGTTTATACGTTGTTTGTATTCACCATTGGCATTGAGGCTCACTTTTTACGGTCTAATCCAATCAACCCAACCCCCAAAACGTTTTATTTTTTTTCCCGCTAACCTTTCACTTGAGGTGGTCGCGACTCAAGTGTTTCCCTGCCGGGTGAGGGGTTATGTATGCGATTGTTCTGAGAGAGCTTGCCCCTCGAGAGGAGCCCCGTGCTTGCATTTCTTGCTTCCTCGCCCGTTCAGCTCAGCGCTGAGTGAAGGTCAAAGCTGAGATCACTCACATGGAAGGAAACGCAGGACACGTGGATCTGTCCAGCTCCACGCTCCAACCCGGGGAAGATGAGCATGGGGGGGGGATTTGATGTCACGCTGGGCTGAAAGGAAAGAGAAAGCCAGAGGAGAGCATGTTCAGTTGGAGCAAGTACAAAAAGAAAGAACAGGAAGGTCGGTTTGCTGTGGTGCAGTTGTCCCACATTGCCGGTTATGATTCAGAAAAAAACCTAACCAAAATCCATGATAAGACACTGCATAATAATAATAATAACAACAAACTACAATGGACGGTCCATTCAATTATTGTGAAGTAAAACTGTGCTAGCTGTGTATTTTGAGCAGATTGAGTTCCTGTGACCCAAGCTTGGGTGAATCTCTATATTGAATCATGGCACATTTGGCTGTCTCCACTTCCACCCGACTGTGAGACATTAGGAATCAGAAGACGAAGAAAAAAAAAAAAATCAATGTTTGTATTGCTAAGAGGAAAATGGAAAGAAAGAGAGAAAAAAAAAACCCTGGCAGCTGCGGCAAGTTAACGGCGCCAAGTCCCGGATGGCGCCGCTTGTGTGCATCTATCACAGGTTACCATCTGTGAGAACGCGAAGACAGTGAAGAAGGCGCAAGCGTGAGGGATTGGATTAAAAACGGGGCGCATGTTGTGGGCTGCCCACGAGCAGCAGCAACTTTGGTTTCTGATCTAGACTCCGGAGTTTTACAGAAGAGCTAACAGCTAACATAGCACAAGGTAGCACCTTGTTTTTGGCAGCAATAGAATAAAACTGTGTGTGTGTGTGTGTGTGTGTGTGTGTGTGTGTGTGTGTGTGTGTGTGTGTGAGAGAGAGAGAGAGAGAGAGAGAGAGAGAGAGAGAGAGAAAGGAATTGAGAGGATAAATGCGATTGAGGTAGGTACTGTTGCTGTAATGCAATTTAGCTACTTTTAGCATTTTGCGTTGGCTTAGCTTGCTACATTTCTTTAGCGGCTAGCGTCAGTGTAGTTAAAGGTCAGGTGTGAAGTAAAGTTAGCCTCCCATTTTTGAGCAATACTGAGGGCTAACTATTTCAAGCATACTTTGGTTATTATTATTATTTTTTTTTTAACACAACCCACCCATAGCAACGCGCTAACAATGAAAATGCTTTTATTCGGCAATCTCCAGCAAGTAACGTCATTTCCAGCATGCCGAGTCACCAGTCAGCCGTTGCAATGCATTGCTGATTGTCCCGTTGACTGCTCTTTACTATTTTCATGTTTCATGGATCGAATATTAAAAGTTTTGTCAATGGAGGTCAGTGTTTCTTATCGTGTTTAGGATAGCAGGGAAGAACGGCCACCGCTGTCAGGTTTCCATCGCTGTGATTTCCAGTGAGTACACAAGGGACCCGTAGTTCCTCCGTGGTAATTAAACTTATATGATTACTGCTTGAAGGAGGGGAAACAAACATGGCTGAACAATGGTTCATTGTGACCGCCGCCAATAGTGCTAATTGCCGCCAGGCTAAATGTTTACCGTACACTTGCTTTGTGATGAATAAACCGAAGAGGTGATTGCCTCTCGTCGGAGACGTCATTGCAACCCCCCCGTCTCCACCTTACTTAGAGGGCGGCCCCCGCCACACCGAGGCAATTTATGTGACTTCGAAGCCAAGAAAACAGGAAAAGGCATCATACTGTAAATGAAAGCATCGAAGCTGCGGAGGTCAAGTAATTGGGTAAAAAGCCCACATGCCCTGTTGCTATGACGCTAGCCGCGAGCGAGTTTCACCTTCATCTTTTGCCAGCGCACAGAAGGAAATGCGAATTTGACTGCACAACCTGCTTGAATAGGGAACCAAGGACACGGGAGGAGCAACGATTCAGGCAGATTGGCTTACGTCATCTGCATTCAATCAATAGCGCTGCCTTTTATCCACCATTCACGATCCAATGTCAAGTAGGATGTCCGCTTTTATGATCGGTTCTTTAACGTCGCAATTTAATGTGCAGAATGCGCACTCCATTTACGTTCTAATCACAGAACTCAGGGATACAAGAGAGGTAACCCAATATATCCAAAGTCTTCAATCTACTGAAAGTTTTAGTCACAAACGTGACCCTTTAACAACTGTTTAATCTTTACTGATTGTGAAGCTATTACCGGCATGATCTCTCTTTTTTGTTTTGTTTTTTGAAATTCAGTATGCTTCTTCAGTCCTCCCATCAGCGCGCATGTCAGGCACGCGCTTGATTTGATTTTCCCATCACGCCTGATCAGTTTTGGAATTGGGCGAAAACGTGTTGAATTTAATCTGCCAAACGGCGGCTGTCTACTCGTCTTTCCTTTTTTATTTTTAAAACAAAAAGCTCTACGTTTCCCACTCAGCGGGGTGATAACCAACGTGAGACGCATGATCTAAAAAAAATAAATAAAAAAAAAATCTTTAATTTTCCACCAATTTCACTGTTTCCGTTTATCCTCCTTTTCCTTTGGAATCCATTAGCCTGTGGCTTATTTCCCCTCCGTTAAATCGGTGCCTGTGACTTTCATTTCTGTTCACCCCTCGCTGCTGCGGGTTGCCTTGCCGCAATTGGCCTTTTGTTGTGCCAAAGAATGAGAAATGGACACACCTTTGCAGCAAAGTGCAGCTTATCGACTTGAACCTGTAGTTGTGTTTGTCAGGTATTGCGTGCAGCCTGCTCTGTGGCCTGATAACTACAGCACGAAGGAACTGACAATTTCCTGCCCTCGGGCTGGAAGATGTGGAAAGGAGTGTGTGCGTCTAGGTATCTGTTCAGCTAGTGGGCCGTCCATTCTGTCTTTTTAATTGAGTCGCGTTAATCTGCCTTCCTTGAACCCCTTTGTGTGTGTGTTGTTTTAATCTTTGTTTTAATTTTTCTTCCTGCCTCACCCATCCCCCCCTTCTCTCTTCAGTGAACCGTTTGATATTTATTTTTGGGAGGTGGGGGTGATTTCTTCTGACAGCTTACTCAGACTTTGGACATCACCTGTTGACACAGTGTGAAGTCGAGCTTTTTGAGACGGCGTAAATGCCTGAAATTATAATACTTTGGACAGAGGTGTGGAAACCAGACTGCAAAATGTTATTTTTAAATTTTTTTGTGCTTTTTTTGGCAGGGGGCGGGGGGGGGTCGTTGTTTATTTGAGGTGTGAAGGGCAAACTAGACTTTGAAATTGGACGTAAATTAAAGTACAGTAGAAATTATCGGTGCCCATTTTTTAGATCAAGCAAAGTCATTGATTAGCAAAGCTGCTCCGCACAAACAAACAAATAAACAAAAAAAAATTTCTGCAGGTACAGTCGTGCCTTGAGATCCAAAGTAGCTTGACTCAAAAGTTTTCCAGATGCGAACTGACAGTATATCTTCAGCGTTGGCAAACTTGCGTGTTTACTTTCCTTACATCTAAAGTCGATACTGTATCAACCCCCTGCAGTCCATCTATTGATGTTTTTCATTCCTCCATTGCTTCACTTCTTAAGTGCTGCAAGATAACTTCCTACAATGTACTGGACTTACTTGCCTCTCGCCTCCAAGGTGTTCTTCTTCTTCCTCCTTGTTTTTGTTTTTTTGTCCTTCACTGTCCTTTGTCTGTGCGCCTTCTTTGTTTCGCCTCCTCCCCTCACGTCTTTGTACTCGCTGCCATGATTACCTTGTGTCGCCTGCGTGCCTAGTTGCGGGGAGCACTGTATCATCCGGAGAGCTGTTTCGAAACCGTTGCTTCCCCTTATTTTGCTTTCACTATGAGCCACTCAGCACAGGGCGAAACAAATTATGCACTCCATACTTTTCTGAAAGTGTCAATCAAAGTGAGCTGCGCCTTGTAAAGTGAGTGCGTACGCATTACCGTTTATATTTCAGTAACAAGGTTATTCAAACGTAAGGATGAACCCCCTTGTAAAATTGACTCCCGCCTCCCTTTAGTCCAAACCAGCTGTGAGCATTAAAGAGCTTCGACCTGAATTAATTTGTGACCTCTTGGCTCTGCTGGTGGATAACATCTGCCTCTCGACAAGAAAGTAAGTGTAATTTTACAGCCATTTTGTTCGTTTTACAATGCAGAGGAGAGCAGAACATGGACGGGTTGATGAGCAGGGGAAGAGTGCGAATTAGAATAAAGGAAAAGGAGCAGCCAACGATAGTGTGGCACTTAATTGCAACAATAATGGATTTTTTTTTTGTTACCTCTCTGCTAAATGGTTGAACGAGGTTAAAATGATAGACAGACAGGGAGAGAAAGAGAGATGTAAAAATAACGATGTGATGATTGGATAAAAAAATGTGGGTTGTTTAAAATTCCCATTAAAGTTGATATTGGTTATTAAAGTCAAAGAAATAAAATAAATAGATTTCCTTGAAATGTTTAAATAAATGAAACGGAATTCATAATGAATGCATTGTAAGTTTTTTTCTTTCCTTCATTGGAACAAATGGAAGTGAAATGAGAAGTTAAATCCAAAAAAAAAAACAACCAACCTTTTTATCGCCGTAAATGAAAATTGAAGAGTGAGTAATGCAAATGAAATCAACAAAAAAAAAGTCATTGTTAATTATTAAAATGTTTTCACAAAGAGATGAGACAGGTTCATTAATTATTCAAATAATCACGAGTGAGCAGCTCTAAACTGAAAAAAAATGTGCCGCTAATCCATGTGATTGGGATTGGCTGATCTCGCTCAGGGATGATCGGTATGGGAATCGGCGGCATAAAACCCTGATCAGAAATTTGGAACACTCCTAATAATAATTCATAATAAAACTTGATTATTGTCTTTTTCTGTCAGCATAATGACTTAAAAAAAAAAAGAAAAAAAGCTGGTGCAAATCATTTAATGACAACACGACAAATTTAAGTTATATCCCGGGTTCGCGTGACCGGAAATACTCCCATCACGCCCCGATTGCGTCATAACGGCAGGGACGGACGGCGGCCCATGAAATCCAGCGAAATCACCATTCAAAAAAGAAATTTAAAAACAACGTTGCCAAGGATGGACTGACTCGCCGCTCTCTCCGCATGCAGTGGATAATTAGCATATCGCTCTTGATTAAAAGCGAGCCGTGCTGCGGGGTCGCCATCTGTCACCTGCGGAGGCCGTCAGGAAACAGACTCTATTCGCCGAGCGCGTGTGTTTGCGCCATATGCGGCCGTTTGATAAGACACGGGGGCCACTGAAAGAAATGGTTTTAAGTGTCAACATTATGCTAACTTTGGTATCCATTCGCTTCCGGCCCGTGAATCGGAACCTCCAATTATTTTTTTGTCCTGCTTTGGCGTCTCACCACTGCGAGCGTGGCATTTCTTACGAGGATATGTTCTTGAACTTTCCAACCTGGAGGCTACAGTATTGGCAATTCTCATTTTTATACATGGAATGTTACACGCTACAATACGCGCTCACCTCTCCCCGGTCCTTCTCTTTCTCATGCCGACTTTTCCAAAATCCCCTCGCCTGCTCCATATTCAATCATCCCACTTTCATTCCCCTGCACTCTTTGCCTTCTTTCATTGGCGATGGGGGTCCTGCCCTTGGTTTGGGATTTATTTTGACTTCTTTTGGATATTCTGTACTTGGACCTGCATGAAATAAGCCAAATTTACAACAAAAAAAATGGTTTCACAGGCCTTGATTATGTTCTGTCCTGGAAAAGCACTTACAAAAAAAAGAATAAAAATCCCGACTGTAATAAGTGCTTTATCTTGCCGATCATGAAGTGCTTGTATGCTGGTTTGTTATGTGTCATTTGCACGAATGAAAATCCTTGCAAGACACACCACACTATACTTTACTAATCCTTGAGCGTATTACCGTATTTTCCGCGGCGCTTCAGAGTATAAGGCGCACCTTCAATAAATGGCCTATTTTAAAAAGGTTTTCATATATCGGGCGCACCGCGTTATAAGACGCATAGAATCGAAGCTACAGTAGTGGCTACGGTTGCGGTATGCAACCATAGATGGAGCAACGCTAAAGGGAATACAATACAATACAATACAGCTTTATTTGTATTGAGCTTTCACAACTGCTGCAGCTGGAACAAAGCGCTCGGCAGAAAAATTTAAAATACTACGTCCAAGAAATCAGAATATTGATGTATATATAAGGCGCATCGGATTATAAGGCGCACCAGCGCGGAAAATACGGTATTTCGTTTTTGTTCATGTTCATATCTCACTCAAAGTAATAGATCGTGGTGAAGATCGTGGTATAGGTGGCGTTGGAATTCGGTCATGTGGCCAAGTGTTATGTAAAAGGAACTCAAAAGCAATCGCTGCAACTATGTGATTGCATATGTGTGCTTTGCCGAAGGACTCCGGCACAAATGTCATCTCTCTTTGCAGTCCTCTTTCAATCCTTACCAACAGAAAGAAGACTTTCACCCTACATTTACGAGGTGTCCCTAAACACACCGCACGGAGCCGCCAAGCGACTGCCAATGCAAACGTAAATGTCAGCCTCAATGAACCCGCCAGCCAGCCAGGGTCAAACGGGTGAAAAATAGCAACTTTGAAAGAATGAAAATACAATGAAACTGACCAAATTGCCAAGTAGTTCAATGCGGAAAAAGTGTCTGCCTGCAAAATGTCAATTTAAAGGCCACGCAGATCACGGGCGAGCACCATAGTAATTAACCAAAGCTGTTTTGAAAGCAAAACGCGAAATTCAAAACATGACTAGAATATGCGCACCTAATTCTTGATGCTTGCCAAGGTTATCATAGTTAAAGAAATATAAATAAGTAAAACTAAAATGGGGAGGTTAAACATTTTCTTCACGCAATTAAATGACAATGAAAATGCTTTTTAAAAAATGAAAGCTAAGTGCATTTATTCCAATCATAATTTAATCAAAAATGTCCTTCATTTTCATCTTTGTCAATAAATATCTTAAATCCGCTTTCGGGATTCATTTTAAATGTTTATTTCAGTGTTGCTGTATTGGAAAATGCATAATGACCTTTTATTTTTCATCTATCACTCAACAAATACTCTAAATATTTAAAATAATACTACTATAAAACTAATAAACACAAAACTAAAATGACGCATTTTTCGAAAAATAAAACAAACACACCTGCTTGAAAACTGAATTAAAGAACCTGAATTAAAAAAAAAATACACAAATCAAAAAGTTTATCATCCATTATGCAGAGCAATATTTACGGTCACCTAAAAGTGGGCTGACATCGCTCTTATTTGGAAGGTATACGTGATGCTGGTGAATGAGTATCGGCTGTTGGAGTATCAGCGCATTTGTGCAAGTGCCCATACCGACATAAAGTATTGGTACCAATAACTAGCACGTTGCGCTGGTGGTGTTTTCCGTCTTTAAGAACAGTTGCGTTTGTGTGCATGTGTGTGCGTCCTCTTCATCTTTGCTGTTTTATTATTCAGCGACATTCGCAAATGAGTGCAGAGAAGAGCTTGCGAGCGGACATGAAGTCATTTGAGAGTCTGGCACGCGGGGGCCCGTAGAAGTGTACTCACAATTTGGCACAATTAGCACCAAAAGGGCTCCCTCCTTGACAAATTAGCACACAAAATGTCAGCTGGTAGTTGAGCGCAGCCACTGTGAGGCCTTGCAAATTAGCACGTATTTAGCGGAGTTAGCTGGCACATTATTGAGAGCGGCGAGAACGCGCACATCTGTTGCCGGCGCTCCCCGTGAATACATGTTATACGATCACTGGTGCCTCTTGTTGGAACCGGGTCAGCTTGGCAGCGCGTTTTCTAATTGAAGTGTGCACACAGTCCTAATAGGAAATTGATGAGATGGACCGTTTGGCAAAAAAAAAGGCTGACTTGTTCTGGACCTCCTGAGTGAGAATTCAGGCAGCCTTGTGTAAAAAATATGACGGTAAAGGTTCCCTTCTATCATAATTCACTTTCTAGATGCGCAGAGTTGTGAAAGCTCAATATAAATAAAGCTGTATTGTATTGTATTCCCTTTAACATAGCTCCATCTAGTGGAGGCATAACGCAACCGCGATTGTAGCTTCTATTCTATGCGCCTTATCATGCGGTGCGCCCTACATGTGAAAACAGTTTTAAAATATGCCATTCATTGAAGGTGCGCCTGATACTCCGAAGCGCCTTATCGCGCGGAAAACACGGTACTTTGACAAGTCCACGTAACAAAGCATTTGTACTTTTGTTGCATTCCGAGACGGAGTGTTGTGAAAGTTGCAGCGAGCGCCACAGGTGTGGCCTTGCAACGCTCCCCTTTTCCCCAGCCTGGCTTGTTTTGTGGCTGACAGCTCGGTTTAGGCTCAACGGTGCCAGCGCGTGATTGTGTGTGCTCGCGTGCGTCACTTCAAGTGTCTGAGTCAGCTGGAGGCTTAGCGGCCCCGAGTGTCAGGGGACAGTTGAGCTCGGTGTCAAAATGCTCGGGACTGACAGGGAAGGGATTGTGTGCTCTCTCAAAACCATTCTGCTCACTTATCGTAATGCTGGCCGTGGTTCAATGTTGGGGGTATTTTTTTATTTTATTTTTTTTGAGCACATGGTGACACCTTGACAACTTGATTTGTTTCCATTATTTAATTTTTGAATGCTTTGAATAAAATCAAAAAGGGTTTTTATTGTAATGAAAATTCTCCACACTGCCCTGCCTCTTAAAGCGACATGCACGGAAGGACGCGAAAATAGATACCTTTTTTTTTTTAATCCATTTGATCCTTGCAAT